ATTGTTTTAGCAGCACCAGGGATGCCTCTGCAATTGTAGTAAGCACTATTTCCCTTGTGTGTGGCACAATTAGCAGTGTGTAGATACTGTATTGTGTTTCTCTCAGGTTCTGCACAAATTATGATAGGCTATCCAAATGCTGAGCTTGAAGTACTTAATGCTGAGACACTGAATAAATAAGCCGAGGAGAAATGTATTCATCTTGTTTAGGAATGAGCTTAAAGCATTTTGACACCTGCTCTCACAGAGAAAAAGTAATTTGAGGGATTTTGCTTTCAACCAGAAAGCGCAGCTTTTTGTAACTTTAGTACAAAACCAAAGAAAAGTATAGGCAAGTTAGACTTCCCTCCATCAAAGAATCTGTATAGATCCTGTTTAAAACCTGCCCTACCTTTATTAGTTACTTCTAACATTTGACACTTACCCATTTGCCACAGATTTCATCCATCTAACCTAAGTTTGACTATACAGATGTCAGGAAAATATCCATGCCTAGTGTTTCCTTCACGTTTGGGATGGTGCAGTGAAAGTCCCATATGAGCCTACAAGACCATGTTTTCTACTCCCCTGCCATAAGGCTGCATTTTATGGTAAACTAGAGCAGAAGCTGATGGGTATATCATCATGATGGATACACATGATGACAGTGGTCTGTGGATCTAACACTATCACTGGGATGTGCTCAGGCCTCTCCTTTTGCTGCTGAGGTTCTCCTTGTGCATGGTCTGTGTATGTCACCTTCTGCCACTGTGTGTGGCCAGCACTGTTTTCTCCATTGTGGGGTGCCAAATCCTTTAGCTGAAGGGTCTCTATCAGCAGGACTTCTAGAGTGATTTCCTCCAGTTTATGCCAAACATTTACTCTCAAGTGAGGTATTTTGAAGTATTCTTTCAATGTGCCTTGGTCTTTTTATGTTTAGGACAATAGGAGGAATTTTTTCACAGAAAGGGCAATTAAGCATCCTTCCCCACGTGCTTATTCCGTAGGTGCAATATGCAACAGAATACAGAGACTACAAGAAGACTACTTGCTTGAAATGTGTTTATGCGCTGCATGACAGAGTTCTTTCTGCCCCAGGTCCATCCTTTTTTTGCCTACAGCACATAGCAGGAACCATTGGAAAGGACCAAAGAAGTTCCTTTTTTGTGCCTTGGGAAATGGATAATATTATCCAGTTATTAATTAAAATATTAATAATATTTTAATCTGCAGGAAATGTTGCTAGTGCTATAGCAACGTTCCCCCAAAGTGACCTTTGGGGGAACTTCAGTGCACATTATATGGTCTGATTTCTTTGGAGGTTAGGGGGTGATCAGTGGCTGAGTCTCTTGTAGTTGAGGATTCAAGGCTTTCCAGGAGTCCTTTAGCAGCCAAAAATGGAATCAGGCAAGTAATGCACTCGTATGCTCTCTAGTGCAGCATGTGGAAGGGACGGTGAAGTGTTACTACTTTGCTCTTGGCAATTTTTTTCCTCACACTTTTACTAATGCTACTGGCATTTCAGAGACCTGAACTCTTTTCAGCACTGGCATTTGGGGGATTCCATCCTTTAAGAAAATGTTCTGTGTAGCTCTTGTTTGCCTGGGAGTTACTGAAAATGAAGCTTAAATTTCGCTTGTGTAATGCTGCAGATGAGCAGACTTGTCCCAAAAGTGATCAGTCTTGTCCCAAAAAGTTATGTGTAGGAAAGAAGTTTTCAATTGAGTCAAAACTTGACTGAAATTAGAGAAGGGGGAAAGAATCCCAAAAAGCTGGGCAGGTGATGCTGGTTTGACAGTGCAGCCAGCCTAATAGTAGGTGATGTTTGTGGCTACCAGAGGAAGTCATTTAAATGCAGAGGAGGATGGTGGGAATGCCTTTGAAGGAGAGAGGATTTTTTTGCTGACTTCTGCATCAGGTATTATCTCTTTTGGGTTTTGGACAGGCAGAAAGTTATCTAGCTCAAGCTTTGAGTGAGCTTTGGGCTCAAGCTGCATGCAGATGAATGCATGTGTTTGGCATGAGCTGATTGCATTCAACTGAACGCTGAAGTCATGAACTTGGAATTGTGTTGAGCTAGTGGAAGAGAATAATATTTCTCTGTGCTTCTTCCCTCTTGTGCGTCAAATGGAGAAATAACCCTTTCCTTTTCCACAAAGCAGCAGATATGTAAGTTATTAAAGTATCTTAATGTGATTTGTCCATAATGCTCTTAAGAAACTTTCTTCTGTACTTGTGTATCTTCTGGTAATGTAGGAATTACTGTAACCCAGCAGGATATTGATGTGTCTAATCTCCCGCTCTGTATCTGGCAGCAATCATTAGCTACTAACTCAGGAGACAGGTAAAAATAGATGAAAAATCACCATGCAAGTAGTCCAGTGCTTCCTGACATAGGAAATAAAAATGCTTTTATTCTCTTGATGCAGGTTGAACTAATCACCTTGCAATTCTCAGCCTAGCCAGCATATCTGCAAATATTACTTCTGTTAAATTTTCAGTGTGGTTAACTAGCATTTTTTCTTAGGGAAGAGATCTGTAACTACTTCTTGCTCTGACCAGACTTCTTGTGTGTCCTTGGAGACCAATTTCTTTGAATTTGTCTGCTTTTTTGTGTGTGCGGTTTTGGTTGGTTTTTTGTTTGGTTTTTTTTTTTTTTCTCTATGTTCCATCCTTCTCTTTCCTTCTGTTTCTTTATTCTGCTCCTAATGAGGTACTTTTGCAAGTGGACTACTCCTGGTTTTGTGATGCTGCAAAATAAAGGGCAAGGGAAAATTATGCAAACCCATAATTTCATTTAAGCTGAGGTTAAAAACTTTGGCACTTTGTTAGGTAGGGATAAGAAATGGAGTATGGGATACGTGCTATGGGTAGTCCAACCTATAATTTGGGTCCAAGTCATCTTGGTGCTGAAAGAGTGTAGGCAGTCTAGTGCACAGTCCATGTATCGTGCTTATAACCAATGTATGTATGTCAAAGCAACAAGTTCTTATCACTTGTTTTTCCCTGCTATTATTTTATGCATGTTTAGACTGATCAACCAGGTCTGGAAATAAACTTGTGAATTTTGATGTCCCAATTTGATAGATTAATGCTTAAGGAAGCATTTAACTGCATGTCTCAAGAATTAAGTGAAGCTCATGGAAAAGTTGTAAAAACATTAGATCTGTATGCACATGTTTTTTACTTGACTACAGTGCAATGACCCCAAACCTTGGATTTGCCTCCCTTGGGATTATCTGGACCTCCCCAGTTCCCTGTTTTCACAGACACTTAGCTCTTGCTCTCAGCCTGCAGCATCCAAGATTTCTATTGCAAAGGTTAAAATACAATCCTGTAAATTGGAGTTAAATGTTTTTTAAATATAAAGATGAAATGTGATATAATCATGTACAATCTTCTTGGGGTTGATATGTCTGGTTGATAAAGGTCATTGGGTTTTGTAAAACAAGTGGGGTTTGTGCTCTGAATTTGTTGTGCTTGATCCTGGCTTTCGCCTCGCAGTTATTGGTGCCGTGAGGCTGTTTGGGAGTGCCTGTATGTCAAGTTAAAGGTAGGAACTCGTCTGTGGCTGGGGAGAAAAGAGGGACAGGGCACAAGAGCCAGGGACTGTGTTACAGCTGGGTACTGCAGCTTCTGACCTGTGTCTGTTATGTGATTAACATCACTCCCACCACACTTTTTTGGTGAGCAGTGAGTAAAGGCAGTAATCTAGATATTTAATTGCTCAAACTGTAAAGCAGATGAAACTGCATAATTGGTGTTACAAGTTGTTACTGAAGTGTTGTCATGGATGTCAAGAAGTGTTCATATTCTAACACAATTAAAAGACTGAGTTCTTGCAGCAGTATCTGAATGCATAGCTCTGTTTGTAGCTCTGGTTGAGGACTAATTTTTTTTTTTGTGGTTGGTGAATTTGATTTTCCTAACCATGCTTAGCATTTGGACTCACAGGGAGCTTAATAATGTTAAACAGAGTTTGGGGAAGCTGAGATGGGACTGGAGGAAGAAGACTTCTCAAATGTTCCTTTGTAGACTGGTAGAAGAATTTTTGTTGTTAAAGCTTGTGTTGAATTTGTACAGCACTGCTTATATGGAAGCAAACCATGGCATTTTGAGCATGGAACAGAAGAAAAATGCACTCTGCATGTTGACTCTTCATTCCAAAATGGCTCTTTGAAGAGCACTGATTTATTTAACATAAAACCTTTTGGTCCCTGATGAAGTTGCCCCAAGTTAAAATGCATGTTTTGTCCTAAATTTGAGAAGAATTGAAATCAATATCTGCATAAACCACAGCCTGTGGCAGGTGGGCATGTTGTGATGTGTTGTCATGCTTAGTAAGGTTGTAATAGCTTATGAGAGCTGAAGGAGAAGGAAAGGGTATGTGAATAAACAGACTTTACTACAGGCTTCGTAGTACAGAGATAAAATAGTAAAGGAAGTGATAGTCAATTCTTTCAAGACTGGAATAATACTGGGCTTTGTAAACCCCAGATACCCTTCTGTCAGCTGCACACCCTCACCATTCCAGCGCTTTACACGGTGGTTATGAACGGACTGATTTCCTGCTGCCTCTCCAGCCGCAGCTGGGTCGCGGCGCCGCTCTCGCCCCCGGCCCCGCCGGTCCCGGTGCTGCGGGCGGGGCCGGCCCGGGGGGGGGCCGCGCTGCTGTTGCCATGGCAGCGCCCGCCGCCGCAGCAGCATCCTCCGCAGCAACTTTCCCCGGCTCCAAAGCCAGCCGCGGCCGACAGGGACGGGACGGGGCGGCGAGGGTCCGTCGGCGGCTGCGGATCGGCGGCCGCTGCCTTGTCCTGCCCCCCGCGCCTGCGGAGCGCCCGCCCCGCCTGCGGCTCCCCCGGGGGCAGCGCGGAGCCATTTTGCCGAGCGGGTGGCTGGAGGGTCCCGGTCCCACTCGGCTCCGTGCCCCGTCCCCCTGACACCTTCCCTTCTCCGCTCTCGCCGGCGGCCGACGCGCGCTCCTTCTGCTTGATCCCGTCCTCAGGCAGGAATCGCCCAGCATGCCGATCGCCCACTTGCTGGAGCTATGGAAAGGGATAGAGGTGGAGCCCATGGAGACGGAGGTGAGCGGCTGCGGGGGCGTGCGGCAGCGGCGGTGCCGCCGGTCCCCCTTTCCCGCCGCGGAAGCACCGCGGTGGTGCCCCAAACCCCACGAAACGGGGTGTGATGAGCATCCCTCGCCCGCTCTGCTCGCCGCTGAGGGCGGGGAGCCAGGCGAGGCTCGGGAACCTGTTGCCTCCCAGGCGGAGCGGTTCGGAGCGGCAGCCGCGGAGCCCGGGCAGTGCGGGATGTTCGGATGCTGATGCCCGGAGCGCTGGGGTAGCTGGAAAGGAAAGAGCGTATACAACAGATGGAAAACCCACAAAGCGGGCTGAGTCGGACTCAGGCTCGCGTTTAAGCATGAAGTATGTGATCTGTAATTTGAGGCTCGAATAGGTCCGTGGACCTCGCTTGGGTTGTGGTTACCCATTTGCCCATTAGCTCTTAGCGTAAGGCTGTGCTTTCCGGATCGCACTGGAAACACGATGCTGTGATAATTAGCTGGCTGCTGCGCTGCGTGTGCTCGCAATTTATCTTGCAGCGTTTTCATTACCTTCAGTCTAGGGTTATCTTGTGTCAGGAAAGACATCATTCAAGTTCGTGAAGTGCTTGGACAGTGTTCCCAGTCACATGGTAGGATTCTTGGGGATGTCCTGTGCAGGAGCTGAGATCGGTAATCCTTGTGGGTACCTCCCTGCTTGGGTTGATCTATGATTTTATGGTTTTTGTACTGTAAGGGGACAAGGTACGTTCCTGAGTATTTCTGGGTCTATTGAGCAGTGCAAAAACCCCAGAGTATTTCAGGTCAATTGTTTGTAGCACAGGATGCACATTTGCAACAGGCAGGTGGTAGAAGTAGATGAATGAAACTTATGAGGTGGGGGGTGTTGGTATTTATTTTTTAATCCCCCATCCTCTTGTTTGATTGAAATACCGTAAAAGGGTTTTGGTGAGAGGGAAAGACGGGAGTGTAACTGAGTGTAACATAATAGGTTATGGCGAACACAAAACACTTGACTCAAAAGGAGCTGCTGAACTGCAGGAAAGGTTTCATGCAAGGTGTTAGTACATGTAAGCAGTTCAGCAGAAGTGATAATGTCATGTAGTGTACCAGCACTGATAATTCTGGAGTCCCTAGGTTAAAAACAAAGCTGCGGGGGCTTGTAAAGGTTTAAATCATATAATTCACTTCTGAATACTGTCACTTGTTCCACTTTGTGGGGTGCATGGAATCTGAGTGCTAATAAACAGGCTATAGCTGGGAAACTATGAATCCTTCCTTTTGTTTTGAGGTCAGCTGACACCTTGTTAAATCACTTTCACAATGACAAGACTTGTATAGCTATATTTATGGTGAACAGTTTTCTGCTGAATATTGTAGAAATGGTGCTCCCTTCCTGTCTACCTTTCTGTTGACTGGTATTCAAAGTGCATATACATGGCTGGTTTTTTCTTCCTCCTTCCCTCCTTTCTAAAAGTAGTTTGTTTTTTGTGGGCCTAATGTTTTTCTTTCTGGCCCAGACAGAAAGCACATCAGTCATTGCTTTTTCTGTTGTCAATTTCTGGGAAAAACTCCCCAGGGGTAGATCACAGGATAAATCCTGCTCTAAAGCCCAGTGTACATCACCTGGAATAATGTCATTGTATTGTCACCTCTTTTGCTGGTAGAGACCTACTCAGACCTTTCTTTCAGAAGAAACTGTGTGGCTCTCCTTACCAGGGATAATTGACCTATTGTAATTATAGTTAATCAGATGTGTGGGTTTGTAGGTTTTGGTGGTGCCTTTTTTTTGTTTTTCCTTTCCTGCTTGAAAGAACAGGATAGCTGAGCTACACTGTTCTATCACTTCCTGAGATTTCACTTGCAAGAAGTTGAGGATTAAAGAATTGAAGGCATAAACTCCTGCAGTTTAAATAGGAACAAGACATAAAACACCATTTATTTGTTCTATTTATTGCTGTCTCTAAACACAATAAAGACATGCTATAACTTTAGACCATTTTAGATTATGCTGTAGATAGACTTGCTAAAGTACTGTTTGCTCAAATCTAGTAAAAGCACATGTAAATTAATTTCATCTCTTGTGGGCTCTTGTCCATGAAGACATTTTCAAACAGCAGAAACATTTAGTCTTTAATGAGCTGAATGCATCTTAAACACTAGTGGTTGTACTGATTCAAGAGAACTGTCATGGTCTCTGAATCTGTGTGGGATAAAATGTTTTCATGGTTTTCTGCAAGTTGTTCTTTTTCACAGAAGCTTTCACAGTTAGTAGACAAGGAGGGAGACAGTTTAATTCTTTGATGCATATGGACCTCCTTCTCCTTCCCCTCCTTAATGCCAAAAACCCTTTTAAAACAGAGACATTTATGAGTGTCTGTGCATGACTCAGGTGAATGACTTGCAGATATTAAAGACAGCTTTTATAGTAAATCAATCACTTGATAAGGAAGAGTGCATCAAGGGCATGTTCTATATTGTTTGTGAAAAGGATGAGTAGAGTGGAATACTGCTCCTTTCACCTGTTGACTCAGGAGGTCATTAGTTGTGTTTGACAGGTAAGCAAGAAAATTGGGATATTTGCTGTTCTAGGATTTCTTTGAGAGCAGGCAAAGCTATTGATCCCACTCAAGCTGGATGGATAGGATAGTGAATTAGAGCCTTGGGAATATTTTTTCCTGAGAAAGGGTTGTGTGATCAAGCTTTATGTGATCTTTCTACCTGTTTTCCAATGGGTTCATCACTTAATGATTTTAGGTAAGCACAGCATTTAAATGGAAGCTGAGTGTTTAGAAAATTTGCTCCTATATTTACACACATATTCTCTCTTCCCAGCAAGAAATTATGTTCCGTTCCTCTAGTTCTTTCCAGTAATAATCTTTTGTTCTTTATTGATTCTATGACAAATGTGGCTTCAACTATTCATCAGTAATTTTAATAGTTCTTTATGCTTTCTTCTCTTAACATTTTGTATATCTTGGAGAAAGCAGGTCCCTATGGATTCAAAAGTTAATTTACCTGTGCAAAGTGTGAAGAATTAAACAAGCCTATTATAGTAGGATAAATTGAAAGTAACTTAACTGCCTAAACATAAATTGACTAGATCTTGGCTTAAAATTGACTTTCTTAGTAGCATATATTTACAGGATTTTTCTTCTCTTTTCTCCTCTCTGTTTACTAGACTGTAGTGGAAGATGCTGCCCCGGATGAAGAACCTGTAAAAGAGGTAAATCGGCTGATTCATGGATCACACAAATGTTAACAAATTATTATAATCATGTTCTGTCTTCATGAAACAAAATGTCTCTGGTGCATATTTTCCACATGCTTGTAGCTGTCAAGATACAAACCAACCCATTTTTGGTCTCTTATTACAAGGTCAAGTGAGGGATAAAAAGATATGCTCAGCTAAAGGTTAGAGAACTTTATTTTGCACATGTTGGCTGTGCATTCTTTCCAAGAAAGAGCCCACAACTTCTTGAAGTACATAGTTTTCCTGCAGAGAAGATTTTGTAATGATCTTAAAAAGAGTAGCTGTCATATTAACAAGGTTTGTGTACTGTAAATTGTGCATAAGTTAATTCCACAGACTGTTAAATTGAAGTCATTACTGCTTGTTCCCTTGGCTGGCTCTTCACCACAGCAAGACTGAGATAACCCTTTGCTTCAAGTGAATCTGTTTATATTATTTTTGCACTGTACTATTGTGCTCATTAAGACAAAGCCAAACCTACAGGAGAAGGTAAGTCTTGCCTCAGAGCATTTAAATGCCAGGTAAGTCATATGAAGATATAAAGCAGGCAAGAGCAAATGATCTTTCACTATTATAATGAGCTGAGGGCAAAGCTGGACCCTGGTCCTGTGTATCACTTCAAGGTGCTGCTGGTTTGTGCAGAGTGACCCAAGGGGTGCCTGATAGATCATCAGCCTTTTGCTGATGTCCAAAAGCAAAGTAGACTGAATCCCTCGAGGACTGAAGGGAGGCTGCAGAGATGCATGTCTAAGTAGCCACCTTTTGAAGATCAGCTTCCTGCTATCTCTTACTCCTTGAAATAGAAGACTTACCTTTGATGTCTGGGTATCTGTGCAGGGATGTGTTTTTGTTAACTTTTATTATGTTAAAGGCATTGTTTAACCCCCTAATGATAGGAAGGAGGATGAAATCTCAGCTTTGATCTCTGAAACGAGTGCAACTTCCAAATGGATTTTTTTTCCCCTTCCATTAAAATTTCTTAAAAAGAGTGGTTAATTACTCTTTAAAAAGCTTGGGGAAGAAATTACATGCTGGTAGCTTGGCTCATCACTTTTTTTGAGGCTGTGGCTGACAATAAAATTTCTGGTTTGCTGGTTTTAGGAGGACTTTTGTGAATATAGCCTTCATCCCCCAAGTTAATTCAAACCTAGTTAATTTTCATTAGGGATGCTTCTTATAATTTGTAAGGTTGAAATTTGGCAGAAAAAAAATGGCATGTAATGAGCTCTTGTATAGAAACCTTAATCCTGTGTTCTCATTTTCTGATGTAAACATTGCAGTGTGCAACTTAATGTCCGTAATCTGTTTCTTTCTGATTTTGTTTTTCTCCCTTTCTCTGCTGCAGCCATGCTATTTCAGCCCTTTGCTGGCTCAGTCTGTAAGCCTCTTCCATTTCCATGGGACTTGTGTCCTGCTGTAGTGGTATTGTAAGAAAGATCAGTCTACACCTCAGGTGACTGATAGCTGTACTGTGCCCAGCCCCAAAGAATTTTTTTTGTTTGTTTGGGTTTTTTTGTGTTTTTTTTTGTTTTTTTTTTTTTTCTTTTTGTTCAGAGACATTGAAGAGTGACTTAAGGAGTGAATTTAAATAATGTAAGGCAATTTTTCATCCTGGTTAAAGGATGTTTTTGCAAATTGCCTGCCTTAGGCTATGTTGGCCTCTGGCTGTTTCTCCCATGCTGCATACAGTGTGGACAAGTGAGATGGTGGTAAAATGCACTGTAAAAACTGCACTTCTCCTTGTTTTCTTAGTTCTGATTTTCCTGTTGATGGATAATTTCTTTAAACATCTTGGGGGCATAAATTAATGGGATTATTGGATAAAACAAGTGTTCCTGAGACACATCTTGGCCTTAGAGCACTGTGTCAGTTCTGCTCTAGAATTCTCACCCACATAACTGGGGGTTGCTATCAGGGCTCTTTCCTAGTATGAGGAACATCCCACAGACACTGTTAGTCCTGCCACAGAAGCAAGTTGATTAGTGGATGGAAATTTCCTTGAGAGGATTTTATACTCCTGCAGCAGTTATTGCTTAGACCTGTGTGGTGCAGTTTTTCCTTAAGAGGTTCTTTTTGACAAAATGGCCTTTCCTTGGTAGAGAAGGATAAGTCTGACCACCTGTGTTGGTTAGAGGCCCCAGCATACTTAAGGGTGATGTGTCTTGTGGTCTAGTCTAGGTTAAAGTGTTGGCATTCTATCTAAACTTCCTTGAAGGTGCAGCTGGCAGCAAAATTATTTGTCACGTTTTTCTAAAATAATGAGTATATGTGCAAAACAGCTCACAGTCCTTTGAAATTGCAGCATTCAGAAGCTATCTTTTAACATTACTTTGAGCTGTTTTACCCTTTCAAGGGAATATGTATGCTCTAGTTCAAACATTGCATGGGGCTCTTAGGGGAAGCAGAGCAGATAGGCAGTGGAAGTTCTGGACACAAACAGAACTGCAGAGCAAAACTGAAAATGGCAGTACCTAGGCTTGCTCTTTAACTCCTGTGCAGTTTCCAAAGACATGTAACTTCTGCTGATACTGTGTGCACTGGTGAAAATAAAATTGGAGGGAGCAAAGGTGGATGCTTGGTGTGTAGCTCATGGCAAACACATGTTGCAGGCTCTGCCATCATCTACAGTGAGGATACAAATTTATTGGCTTGTCAATGAAAGATTGAGTCTCTATAACTAATGGCAGTAACAGCTTGTGTGATACTTTTTAGGAACTGAAGGAAAACTGCATTGAATTATCACAATGAAGAAAAGATCAAATCTGCGCATCAGTGGAAATTTTATTTCTCTTGCTCTAGTGCTACTGTTATCAAGGCAATAAAATATAAAAAACTGATGTTGGAATGTGCCTCTGGAGGTCATCTAGCCCAGCCTTCTCCCTGCCTTGCTGAAAGCAGTGTCAGTGGTGGGAAAGTGCTTGGCACTGCATCCAGTTGTGCCTTGAGTGGACCCTACAGGCTCTCTGGGACCTGGTTCTAGTGTTTGATCACCTAAAGAGGAAAAAAAAGAATTCCTGGTTCAAATTTCCTGTGTTTTGGTTTGTGCTCACTGCCTCTTGTCACTTCACTGGAGATACCATTTCAAAGAGTCTTGTTCGGTCATTTTTATTTTCTCTCTTTGGGTATTTATATATGTGAATAAGACACATTCTCCATTCTTCATTCTTTCCTTGTCTCCTGCATTGTGTTCTTCAGGGGGTACAATTCCAGCTTTCTCAGAATCTTTTTTGTAGGTCAGATCTGCTCCTCCATTGTTTATTTTTGTGATTCACCTTCACTTGCTCCAGTATGTTCATGTCTTTTTTTTTTTTTTTTTTGAACAGCGTAAGCTCAGAACAGGGCATCACTCCAGATGTATTAGCAGTGCTGAGTGGAAGAGAAGGATCATTCCACTAGACCTGCTGGCAACACCTTCTCTAATACAGCCCAGAGTGCTGTCAACTTTCTTTGCCAGCTGGCTCAATTCAACTTGTCTACCAGGATGCCCAGGTCCTTCTCTGCAAAGATGAATTCCAGCTGTCTAGCCCCTAGCCTATAGCATAGGGTTATTTTTCTTGGGGTACAGAACCTTGCATGTTCCTTTGCCAGACTTGAGGATAATACTGTTGGCTAATTTCTTCAGTCAGAAAAAGTTCCTCTGGACACAGCACAACTGTCTGGTGTTATCAGCTGTTATTGCATTTTGTAACACCTACAAAAATGTAAAGTGTGTACTCTGCCCAATCATCCAAATGATTAATGAAGATGTTAAATAATCCAGGGCCCAGTCTTGATCCCCAGGGTCTGCCAGTGACTGACTCCAACAGAACTTTCTGCTGATCACAACCCTCTGGGTATTGTAGTTCAGTTTTTGATCCATCTCACTGTTCACTTACCTGATTCAATCAGTCCTTCATCTGTTTGTCTGAGCTGATGTAGGAGACAGTGTCAAAAGTCTTAGTTGAAGCCTGAACCTTCATTCTTCAAAGTTGTGAAGGCTGTCAGGTTGTTTAAGCACAATTTTCCTCTTTGCAGATCTATGGTGACTGCAGCAAATAATTTTCTTGCTATTCATATGCTTGTGAATTTTTTCTAGAGAGATTTGATTCATCACCCTTTCAGGTTTGATTCATCACCCAATCCAGGTGAACCTGATTGGTTTGCAATTTGTTGGATCTTCCTTCTTGAAGAGAGGACCTACATCCTTACTCACACCTCTCAAGAAGCTTTTCTAATTGCCATGTGTCTTCAGAGTACTGAGAGTGGCCACCTACACAATTACATTGGTCAGTTCCCTCAGCATTAAGGGATGTATCTCATTGAGTCCCACATTCTTTTCGTAGGGTATGTTGTCTTTGTTTAGATGCCCCCCTAACCTGACCCTCCTCCACCAAAGCCAAATCCTTCTTTCCCACTCTTTTTCAGGGACTTGGGAGTCCTAAAGGCTCACAATTACCAGTAAAGACCATGGCAAAGAAAGTACTGGGTACCTCGCCTTTCCTGTATCTTTTGTTACTCTATCTCCTTTCCCACTCAGTAGCAGGACCAAAGGTACTCCTTTTGCTGCTGCTGGAACTCCAGCAATCCTTGTTACTCTCTGCCTCTGTCACCAGGTTGAATTGCACATGGGCTTTGGCTTTCTTGACACCACCACTGCATGCTTAATAGTCTTTCTGCTGCTCCTGGGCACTCGTGTGTCCTTCATTTAGATATACTTCTCTTGCATGCCTGAGGTTTTTCAGATGGTCCTTGTTCACTCATGCAGGCCTTTGGCTGCCTTTGCATGAGACAAAAGTGGTCAGGGTGGCCAAATCCTGAGCTAGGAGGAGTGGTGATCCTTGAAAATTATCCAGCTGTCCTGTACCCCTCTTTCTTCCGGGGTCATCTGCCATGGGATTCATCCAAGCAGGTGCCTGAAGGGAACAAAATCTGTTCTGATGAAGTTTGCAATTGTGATCTTGACTTTTGCTTTGCGCTTTTGTCTTGGGATCTTG